GGAAGAAAGACAAAATACAAAATACAATGGTACAGTATAAAAGCTAAATTTGGAATAATAGAATGTAAATATCCTACTTACAGTATCCAGAGCAATGACTTGCTCTGGTGTAGTTAGCTTGTGGTGGTATGATCCCCACCATATGACAGGAATCCAGCAGCACCAGGAAAAATGGGAAAACCAGAAGAGGATTGGATAAAAAAACTTGACTTTATTAATAAAAACAAATAGAATAAAAATCAGCTTCCAGTCCTTCACTGGGCACGTTTCGCCCAGGTTTGGGCTTAATCAATATACATTTGTGTCTATTAATCATAGCATATTGCACTATTATTCTATTGTTTTTGTTTCCCTTGAGGATTTTACCATGCTTTACTAATCAAGATTAATATGTATGTATAAAATATTTATTTTGCACTTTTGAGTACTTTTTGGCGCGGTTTACCACTTTTCCTATTCCACATCTCAGTTTACTACAAGCAGGTATTGGGAAATCCTGCTGGTTCACTACTGCCCTACATGTGGTTATATAGAGAGCGCCTAACCTATTTTTTATTCGCAAATTTCATTGTAAGCCTTCTGAGGTGGTGTGGTATACAAGAGTGGGTTCCAGAAAAAAGCAATGACAGGATTCCAAGCACATGGAATAATAGAGGAATTTGGGGCACACTCGGAACATCCATTTCTCAGCAGTGGTGATGTAATAAAGAACAATATTTATACAAACTACAGATTAAGGATCCTATGCTAAGCCCATGCCAACTTTCAAATAAAACAAATCAATCACGAAATGCTGGTTATGAATGTACTAGAAAATAGATATATTGCAAAGGTAAATCTCACACAACTAACCCCAGTTTAATCATATTTACCGTGATCAATAGTTTTGAAATCAGCTATCAGAACCCTCAAGATTGGGATTGGTGTGCATGTGTGTCTACACAAATGTGAGTGTGTGTGTATGAATTTTTCAGTGTTTGTATGAATGTTTGAAAGCGGTGTGTGTACAAGAATGAGTATAAATGTGAGTGTGGTATTTCCCTAACAATAGGGTGTTAGGAATATTGCAGAGTGACTAAAAATGAAATAAAAATTCTACAGTGCTCTTGGGGGACAAACTACGTATCTGTCATAATTTGGCTTATTCTCAGTCTGGTGCAGTACCTCACAGTGCCACTACCTGCCTGTGGTGCTATTCCAGGCTGCTGCACCCAGACTGAAATCTCTCTCTGTTCCCAGCTGGCCTTACTTTGTGATTAACCTCTCCCTATTTAGTTGAGCCTCACCCCTTCTTGCTTTCCAGTTCATTAATGTTAATGTTGCTGGTCTGGTTCTTTGTTTCTGAGTTCCTGTGCTAGCTGGCTGTCCCCCTGTAGCCAGATGCCTGCCCTGCCTGTCTCCAGGCCAGTGCAAGAATTTTTGGGTACACAGGCGAAGATGATTTTGCCCCCCCCCCCCCAAAAAAAGCACCTGTGTGCCCCTTTTGTATCTCTTACAACCCCCCTTTGTGTGTCTTACTCCCCAGTCCTTTTGTGTGTCTCCTTCTCTCCCAGCCCTTTTGTGTCTTTTACTCTTCCAGGCTCTTTTGTGTGTTTCTCTTTCACCCCTAGCCTCTCTTTGTCTCTTTTTCCTCTTCTCAGACCCTCTGTGTCTCTTTCACCCCCAGCCCATTTGTTTTCCCACCCCCAGGCCCTTCTGTGTGCCTTCTACATCCCCAGCCACATCTTTGTGTCATTCTCCCCACTCAGGCCCCCTGCCCTTCATGTCCCTTACTGGTGCTTTCCCCTTCCTGTCCCTTAGTGGCCCTCTCCCTGTCACTTAGTGTTCCTCTCCCCTCCCCTTCCTGTCCCTTAGTGGTCCCCTCTCCTTCTCGTCCATTAGTTGTCCTCTCCCCTCTCTTCCCTGTCCTTTAGTTAGTGTTCCTCTCCCCTCCATGTCCCTTAAGTGTTCCTTGCCCCTCCTCTCCTTGTCCCTTAGTGTTCATCTACCCTCCCTCCCTCAGTGGTCCTCTTCCCTATCCCTTAGTGTTCCTCTTCCCTCCCCTCCATGTCCCTTACTGTTCCTCTTCTCTCCCCTCAGTGTTCCTTAGTGCTCCTCTCCGCTTCCCATCCCTTTCTGGTCCTCTCCCCTCTCTTTGCTGTCGCTAAGTGTTCCTCTCCCATCCCCTCCATGTCCCTTAGTGTTCCTCTCCCCTCCTTTCCTTGTCCCTTAGTGTTTATCTCCTCTCCCTCCCCTGTCCCTTAGTGTCCCCCTCCCTCAGTGGTCATCCTCCTTGTCCCTTAGTGTTCCTCTCCCCACTTCCCTTAGTGGTCTTCTTCCCTCCCTTCCCTGTCTCTTGGTCTCTTTCCCCCTTAGTGTTCCTCCCCCCCCATCCTCTTAGTGCTCCTCTCCCCAAGCTTCCCTCTCTTTTAGTGGTCTCCCTCCCCCTTAGTGATCCTTTTCCTTCCCCTGTCCCTTAGTGTTTATCTCCCCCCCTCTCTTAGTGGTTCTTTCCCCTCCCTTCCATGTCTCCTAGTGCCCCCCACCCCTCTTAGTGTTCCTTTTAGTGGTCCCCCTTAGTGTCTTTTTTTAGTGACCTCCCACCCCTAAGTGCTCCCCCCATCCCTTAGTGTTCCTCTCTCCCCCGCCCCCTCCCTTAGTGGTCCTCTCCCCTTACTCCCTTGTATGCCTCATTACCTTTCTGAGGAAGTGCTCTCCTAGTGAGCACTTGCTGTCAATCCAGCCGGGTACAGGAAACTGGAGATCCACTCCGCCCGGCCACGCTACACTGAGTGACAGGTAGGAGGGAGTGCTGTGTGCTTCCCTCCTGTTATCTAGCGCCCCCTGGGCTGGTGCACCCTAAGGCGGACAACTGTGCCACCTTACGCATGTGACAGCCCTTCCTGTCCTGTATCCAGAGGCCTGTACCACCCTTCCTGTCCTGTATCCAGAGGCCTGCCCTGCCCTTCCTGTCCTGTATCCAGAGGCCTGTCCCGCCCTTCTTGTCCTGTATGCAGAGGCCTGCCCTTCCTGTCCTGTATCCAGAGACCCTTCTAGTGCACTCAGTTATCTGTGTTTGTATTTTATTTAACTGCCTTCCTTAAATATCAATACGCTTATTTTTTGCCTTTATTTGGTTGTACATTGGTTTCTTTGCATTCTGGGTTCCACCCTATAGAGCTTGCTGCACTGGTCAGCACCCCTTCCTGACCAACCCCTTGACAATATCCTATATAAATGCTATTAATAATAATAATAATAATAATAATAAAACCTTGCTGGATTTACTTTTTATGGGTTAAGAGTCTCTTCCTAATGCAGGAAGCTGCAAGCAGAACCTCTAAACAGTGCATGAAAGGAAGCTGTAAAGTTGTGAATACTTGTTATTTATTTTTTTGCATTTTAATTTACTCGATTGTCTATAATATATTAATATATATATATATATAATACACAAGATCCAGCACACTCACCTATCCACTAAACAGCAACTTCAATGTTGAAAGATTTTATGTGGTTTTTTTTTTTAAATACCTAATCTAGGCAAAAATAATGGGGGTTTAGTTACATTATATGATCATACATTGCATAAGCCTGCCACAACGTTAATGTACCCCATCTTTGGCAGGTCCTACTCTAACAGCCTAATGTCTGCTCTTATGAGAATAACCCACTTAGAACACAGTTTCGTTTTAAGGTGCTCTAGGCATTTAAATGTAATACAACAAAAAGAACCTATTTATTTTAATTTTGTGTGTTGTTTAGAAACATTTTCTGTATTTTCTATATAATACTGAACATAATGTAGATAATGTGCTTTTTAACATTCATATCAGAACAAAAACACAGGTTTGATTCCCAACAAGGTGAAGTAAGTCATTGGCATTTATCTTTTCAAAGTCAATGAAATGAAAAGCAATAAGTTGGCAAATACGAACATCTTGACTCCATAATATACTTGAAAAATGTCAAAAGATATTACTATTATCATTGTTAAAATTAATAATATATTCTCCTACCCTATCCAGCAGCCGGTCAGTAAATGAGACATTATATGATTGTGTAGATCATAGAAATGATTTTCCTAGTACATAACTTTAGTAAATCAAATGATTCATCTGTTGAAGATGTTGGTTGCCCCAGCAATGTGAATCAGGCTTATTAATGAAATGTAATAAGGCTGAAGTGCGGTGAATGTGTTCAGACAATGCACAGTGACGTAGTGGTTCATTATTTGATAAGAGATCTCCTGTCTCAAGGTTGTGACTTACGCAAGTCTATACTAATGCAATCTGGACTTAACCGTTTTAAATGGAATGTCTATTGTATGAAACCAGGCTCTGCCGCGGAGAGAGCAAAACTACTAATGTAATAATTACCGGACAAGCTACAGGTGGATTCTCTTCGGATTTTCTTTGTACAGTGGTGTATGCTGAACATAAATGATAATTTACTATCAATTGCATTTTTACACAAGTCATAAACAGATATAGAAGTGAATGCATAAGCACATGTACATGTACGTGCAGAAAGATGGGTTTTTCAAAGGACTTAAAATTCTAGATTTGTAGAAAACCAAAAACTAAAGAGGAACTGTCAGCCAGCAGTGTTTATTATTTTTAATATTAGCATTTATATAGTGCCCTTGCCTTCCGCAGTGCTTTAAGATTACATAATGGGGTTATAAAAAAAAAATTGACAGGCAGAAACTAATAATGTAGAAACAACAGGTAATAAAGGCTGTAGCGGAACATTTATCATACAGAAAACCTAAGCAATCTCGCCTAGCTGAATAAAATATTTTAGGGGGCGTGGTTCCGGCTCCGACTAAGATGGCCGCGTAGAGAATAAGCTCCGTCTCGCCGGACCCGAATATAGCGATCACGGCAAGCAAATTAAGCTTAATGGGGCGCACTAAACGCCCAGAGCAGCCCCAGACCCCACGGATAGCCTCCCAGGGCCCGCTGGACGGATATCTGCAGCAGCAGCCAGGGGGGAGCGGAGACTCTGGCAGCCCCAAGATGGCGGCGACATCCACTCCCGGACAGGGGATGCCGGCCCTAGACCGGATTGAGGGCTCCCTGAGGGACCTGGCAGCCACCATGGTGACAAAAACCGACCTTCAGGTGATAACTACCACCATCCAAGACACATTGCGGACAGAGATCGCGGGGATTCACACAGAGCTCACTGCGCAGGCGGGCCGCATTACCGCGACGGAGGAAGCAACTGAGGCCCTCACGGCCCGAGTGGCAGCCACTGATACCGCTGTAGCACGCCAGGGTGAGATGCTGCTTTCCATGCGTCGACACCTGGAAGATGTAGACAATAGAGGTAGGAGGCGCAATATCCGGGTTCGTGGGGTACCAGAAACCGAGGGGCCAGAAAATGCTGAGGCTTTACTAACGGAATTATTCTGCTCTCTACTGCCACCATCCCCACCGCCAACTATAGAATTCGAGAGGGCACATAGGGCCTTGCGGTCTAGAGCAGCTGAAGAAGGGCCGCGTGACCTAATATGCTGTCTACACTCATTCCCGGTGAAGAACTCCATCATGGCCAAAGCCCGGGAAAGACAGAATTGGCCCTTTAGGGGAGCGCAGGTTTCGCTTTATAATGATTTATCCCCCATAACGTTGGAAGCAAGGAGAGCCCTCCGCCCGGTTACAGCGACATTGCGAGACCGCAATATACCATATAAGTGGGGCTTCCCCTTTGCACTAATGGCTAGACACCAAAATAGATGGATCACCATGAGATGGCCGGAGGAGGTACCACGGTTTATGGGAGAACTGGGCCTCCCCTCTCAGTCGGTCCCCAACTGGATCCTGGGGACACTGGGGCCGCAACCCAGACCACAAAGAGGGCCCAGACAGCGTGAGGCGAGAACTCATCCGGCTCACAACAGCGGAAGACGTGGAGACCCGACTTCCCCGGAGGAGTGATCAGCATGCCTGCCTGCGTCCAAGACCACCGTATATCGCCCCAGGCTAACACACCCACGCCGGCACCCAGCTTTTCCTGTTCACGCATCGTCCCTGGAGGGCTGGACCCCAATCGCTTACCGCACGCAACCCACTTCTACCCCCTGATGTCGAGATGAAAAGAACGTACGGCACACCCACAGGTACTTTGGGTTAATGTTCCGGGACATGGAGCTTTGGGAGGGGAGATCCTGGGTTTAAGGGCGCACACGGGAGCTGATACCCACCTGAAGCAGGCATGCGTACGGGTCTCTGGGCCACCCCCTGACTCTCTACCATGGTTGTTGCCCGACACGGGGTGGGCACAAGATACTTTGGGGGGGGTGGGAGAGGGACATAAGGGGGCAACGGACAGCAGATACCGACTGCCTGACTGGATATTCAGCACAAACTCAGGCATCCTGGACGCAAAAACGGTGACCCCCCACGAATGAGGACACTAAATTGGGACACTTGCATTTAAGAAAGGGTATCTTTGATCCAGGGAGCTGGGGGAGAGCGGGATGGGAAGTGGGGTAGAGTGGAATATTTCTAACTGTTAATGATGCATGCTAATATAACCTGTCGCTGACTGAATCATATTTACTGCTATTCCTAATTGTACAGGCCCATTGTTTCCTAGAGGCATCAGATAGAAATAGTTTGCAGAACACCAACCGGACCCCACTGTATCAACGGGAAGTAGCGGTCCCTTAGGGGGAAAACAAGGAGGACACGCAGACTGGTATATAATCTAGACCTCAGTGCTTACAGTACCGCAGACACACAGATAATTCAAAGCCCTGACTAGTATAGGCTGCACATACCCGCTTGCATCTGCCTGCTTAATCCAAGCTACGCACCCTATTCAGCCCTCACTTACAGATACCAACACACTTAGGTGCGCCTTCCCCCCTCACCCCCCTTATAGGTACTGGAGAGAATAGGGACGAAATGACGGAAGTGAGTATCGAATAACTTGCGCATGATCATCGGAGCCAGAGCTCTAGGGATAGTTATAGTTTTAAGACGAGTCAGGGTGCTTTAACCATGACACAACACCAATACTGGATCTGAGAAAGCCACCACTCCACAACCCGGTAGATAGGGGAGGTTGACGTGGGGCGACCGGTGCGAATGGACGCGGGAGGGATGTTCGCTGCTGGGGGAGAAGCGAATGGGGAATGACGGGACGTTCTGGATTAAGGAACTGCTATCTTAATCGTGACACTTGTAAATATGTTAATTTGTTAATTTGATGTTAATGCTTAAATGCCTTGAATATGAATACACAATACATGTTAGCTGCTGCCACTCACTCAGCTATGATTTTGGGGGTCGCGGCGGAGAGGAGAATCCCATGTATACTCTTAGACACCTTATCTGGGCGGAGCTCGAGTCGCGTTCCCTAACACATACACTCGCGCTAAGAGGTCTGTGGCCAGGCTACGGGGTGTCTCGTCTCTTGGGCTGGTACCAGAGTGGGCGCCTGTTAGCGCTGGTCACTGCGCGAGACCTCCCCCTACTCTGTAGAGGGATTGCGGATCTGGGACATTACCGGATTCCGAGGGGATACCTACACTGAAGGGTAAACACCTCCTTTTCGATCTTAAATCTCACACAACACATTCAGCTCCATACTCGGGCACTGGGCCCTGGACCCCGGACTTGTCGCATCGGTCGCAACCCCCTATTCACGGTTCCCTCCCATACACTTAACCCTTGCCTCCCTCCACCTACCTCCCCTGCCCCTCCCCCGCACCTCGGCCCATCCTGTGCCTCGGACGCGTGGTCCCCCCTTGGGACGGCGGAGCATTGGGAGAGACTACGGGTCCGGCACTGGTCTGAAGAGGTTCCCGACGTACATAGAGATAATGACCTACCAAAGCGCACCTTTGAAGATCATCACACAGAATTGCAGAGGACTTAACATCCCTGAACGTAGGACACACCTGCTACGAGAATTGAGGAAAAAACACGTAGCGATAGCAATGCTCCAAGAAACGCATTTCAAGGAAGGATCGTCCCCAAGAATACGGAACAAGCATTATCCTAACAACTACTTCTGCAACCATCCGACGGCTCATAAATCTGGAGTTGCCATACTACCAGCCTACTCTGGAGTTCAAAGAACTAGAACATTTACAAGACTCACAAGGAAGATACCTCTTCCTTAAAGGCACCATAGCAGACAGGATATACACAATAGCAACCATCTATGTGCCCAACAAAAGACAGGCCCCATTCCTCCGAAATGTGTTACAACAACTGGAGGACTTCACGGATGGGATACTTTTGGTAGGAGGCGACTTCAACACCCCACTCGATCCTACACTGGACTCCCCTACAGGTCATAGCAGCATTTCACAACATAACATTAGATCCATCCGACAGTCGTTGGAGGCCCTGAGGCTAGTGGACTGTTGGAGAACGCTTCACCCCACAGTGAAGGACTTCACCTACTTTTCCGCCCTTCATGATCGATATTCCCGTATAGACTATATCCTTACTGCTCAGGAAGGACTTTCCCACCTGCGCGGAGCTAAGATCGAGACTGGCACCTGGTCAGACCATGGATCGGTCGAGATAGAACTGGACTCACCCCTGTACAGACCAAAGGCGTGGACCTGGAGACTTAACGAAGCTCTACTGCTAGATCCAGATACCAAGGAACAAATTCAAAAAGCACTGGAACAATACTTTAGGGAAAATGACTCTCCAGAGACCTCCGCAATATCCATATGGGAAGCCCACAAGAGTGTGACACGCGGTGAACTTATACGCATCGCCTCTCGGAAACGGAAGGCATTTATGCATGAAATGGTGGATTTGTATCACTCTATATCGACCCTGGAACGCCAACACAAACGCTCCCAGCTAAATGCAGTTTACGGAGAATTGATGGAACACAGACGAAAACTCAAAGACCTAATCTTGAAAAGGCATCTTCGAGCCGTACAACGCACAAAGAGCTTTTACTACGTACACGCCAATAAAGGAGGTAAATACCTGGCGAAACTGCTGAAAGGTCCTTTGCCCCATAGACAAATACGCAGGATTCGCCTGGCTTCTGGGGAGATCTCCCCCTTTCCTGAGAAAATCGCTGGGGAATTTCGGGCCTTTTACGAGCATCTCTACAATTTGTATGCGCCTAAAGAGGCCACCGAAGCCGCGAGAGAAACTGAGAAAATACAGGACTACCTATCCAACACAATCACAAACACAATCAATCAAGACTCGGCAACACAACTGGACACACCAATCACAGTGGAAGAATTAGCCGCAGCCCTTAAGTCATCTAAAACTGGCAAGGCTCCTGGTCCGGACGGCTTCTCCACGGGATACTATAAAACCTTCTCGGGAATACTGTTGCCCTGGCTCACCAAGGCACTCAACGTGGTTGGTGAGGGGGGAGAACTGGGTGGGGAGTCCCTATCAGCCATCATTACAGTCCTACTTAAACCAGGGAAAGATCCACTACATTGCAGCAGCTATCGACCGATTTCGCTACTAAATGTGGACGCTAAATTGTTCACGAAAACACTAGCGACCAGAATTAAACATCTCCTCCCCGATTTGATACACGAGGACCAGACGGGATTCATCCCAGGTCGAGAAGCTAGGGACAGCACCCTACGACTTTTCTCTATCCAACACCACGCGAGGAAACTGGGGACCCAGTTGCTATTGTTATCAACAGATGCAGAAAAAGCATTTGACCGGGTCAATTGGACATATATGCTGGCAACACTGAAACAACTAGGCTGTGGTCAGAGACTCCTCACGTGGATATCTGCCATTTATAGCAAACCGCGCGCATCGGTGCGGATCAATGGGGCTACGACAGCGGACTTCGCGATCAACAATGGGACCCGGCAGGGATGCCCACTGTCACCGTTGCTGTTTGCATTGACCCTGGAGCCACTATTACAGGCAATCCGCCAGAATCCGGACATACAAGGATATAACTGGCAGGGAGTACAGCACAAAGTTGCCGCATACGCGGATGACCTCCTCTTCTTTGTCCATAACCCTAGGATCACTATGCCGTGCCTTCTCTCTGAGTTTAATAGATTTGGCCAGATATCGGGATTTAAACTTAACATCTCGAAATGCGAGGTCCTGAATTTAACAATCCCCACAGATGAATACCGCTCTCTAGAACCGGAATTTGGGTTCCACTGGTGCCACGACAAGATGAAATAACTGGGCATCTGGGTAACCACGAACCCGAGGATACTCGCAGACCTGTCCAAGTGGTCTCACCCTAACATAACATGGCACGGGAGGATTGCGGTGATTAAAATGAATATCCTCCCGAGAATCCTATACCTCATGCAAACCATACCCCTCGTACTACCTCCAACCTTTTTCTCCACCCTGAAAACGGCGGTGATCAAATTCGTCTGGCGAGGAGGAAGATCCAGGATTAGACACGACATTATCTGCCGACCTAGAATCTGCGGAGGACTAGCGCTTCCAGATTTTAGGAAATATCATCAGGCCACGATCATGCATCGCGTACTAGATTGGCACGCAACACAGGAAATTAAACAATGGGTGGTACTCGACAGGGGCCTCATTGGACCAACGTTGGAGACGAAAATCTGGGGGGATCTTGAAAGATCGCCCTCCCGCTCGGCGGAGGAGGGATTGATCCTACAGACAATATGTGGATGGAAAACACTGAGGACTCAAGACCACGTGTCCCCTATGCCCAGCCCAATGATACCGATCACGTATAACACAGCTGTTGGGGGGGGACTCCCTCCTGCAGCATTTCCCTTCCAGGATACTGGGGCATACATACCCATACATAAGGCACTCGAAGGCGGGAGGATGCGAGACCTCCCCTCGATGCTAGGCGATAGACCACGGACGCCTATCCTCCAATTTAGATATCTACAACTGAAACACTTTTACGATTCCTTCCCGCACAAAGATCGCTTGCATAGAGACCTCACGTGGTTTGAGGGCCTCTGCGACCGAGGCACCAACATAGAACATGCCATCTCAGCGTTATACCAACATCTTCTAATCGGAGGCACCCCTACGGCTACTACGTTCAAAAGGCAGTGGGAAGAACAACTAGGAATAACATTTACAACACAGCAATGGGATACGGCGTTGCTTTGGCAGCATAAGAGCTCTATGAGCTCATACTACCAGGAGATGAATTATAAGTTGATATCTTTCTGGTATAGAACACCAGTTCTTATGCACCGCATATTCCCTTTAATTCCTCCGATGTGTTGGAGGTGCCAGGAAACACGCGGCACAGTACTGCACATATGGTGGGAATGCAGGGTTATCATCCCATTCTGGCAAATGATTAGAGAAGAAGTGACGATCATCCTGGGAGACTTACCGGAATGGAATGCGGAATTGGCATTGCTACACATCTCGACACAACCCATAAGATCATATAAGAAAATCGATACTACGACACCTGCTTAATGCTGCCAAGGCCACTATTCCAGTCCATTGGAAAAAAAGTGAAATCCCGACCAAAAAAGAGTGGATCCGTAGAGTGGAAGAGATCCAAGGAGCAGAAGAAGCACATGCTATTGTAACGGGAAGAGGGACCAAGCACACGGAGATGTGGACGCCGTGGTTCCTATACATATCTCGCTATCGAGGAGACGGAGCCGCACAGGGGCCCGCGCCGGGGGCGCAGGCTGGGTCAGACAGTGCCAGGGGGACCACACCCTAAGAGGCCCAACCGCCACTGCTCCTCACCTCTTCCTTACCCCTTATCCTTGCGCACCGGGACCGAGTGGAGTGGGGGTCGGGGCCGAGTAGACTGACTGTGGGATGGATAGCCAATACAACATTTCACAAGGATTCCAGGGAGGCACAACGTACACTAATAGAGGGATACTAATAAATGCACAGAGATTTGAACAGGCCTGGGAGACACGGGTCACACTGTGGCTCAGATACCTGATGAGTAGCCAGGATTATGACACACTTGTGAATAAATAACACTAGATAGCCGCCAACCATATCTTCCTCATACACTAGGGTAACACTCAGGCTAAATAACACCACGATAAGTACCACACTGGGGCCAGACACGAGCATCTGGCTACCACAACTGGGTGAAGGGACTCTCGAACGCTACACGAGCTCAGCCATAGGTAACAATCAAGGGAATACTGGTGCTCCAAGTAGTGAATACCTGTTATAAATGACACAAAGCTCCCACCTGTAATTGTTACACATGAAACTGTACTGTCATACAAGAAATGGATATGCTTGTCCCTCACTATGGGGTAAGAGTACCTAGATATACACCTTGGATAGTTATTACGGACCTGCGTGTCCACTCATTTCGTAAAACAAGCTGACTCATAGGCCTGCAAGCTTGGTAGGTGGTGGATCTATTTAATAATTTATTTTATTTATGTTTTATTTCTTTTCTCCTTTTCTCATGGATCACCAGTTTTTCCTACCTCTGTTACACTTACAATGTATGCGTACCTAGACCTGCGAGTCTTTATACTGTTCTAACTGCTGACTCTCCAATTTACTAAATAAACATATTTTCAAAAAAAAAAAAAATATTTTAGGGTTTCCTAGTCGACAAATCAATATGTGGGCCAACACTCGCCTAAGTATCTTGCCAGGAAACCCCCCAGTTACA